AGGTCTTTAGCTCTGCCTGAAGAGATAATGCTGGTGGTGGGCCGGCGGAGTGGTTGTGAGCCCAGGGGTGGGTGAAGAGGGTGGTGATATGGTTGTTGGTAGCTGGGAGGGTGGCCGCGTGGGTGCCGGTGGTGGTGGTTTGGTCAGCATGAAATTTGAGGTCGTAGCGGGGGTGGGATACAGTCCAGTCTGTGCAGCAGGCTAGGCAAGAACAAGAGGCGAGTCCCTGTCCTAAGGGCCCAAGAAAGACACGGACGGTTTCGGTTTTCCATCCTGAGTCTGTGGCGTGGAGGCCGTTGGACAGAGCTCGAAAGGTCTCTGTGCCAAAGATGAAGCTGAGGTTACCGAGGGAAAGATCGATCTGGGCATCATATTCTGTTCGTGGTCTGGACAGCAAAGTCGTAATCTTGTGTTGTTTATCTTCAGTCGAACTTGTCAGTAGCCTCGACTTCTTGAGGTGGTTATGGACTGCGAGCTGGCAGTGTAACCATCTCGAGTTCTTCAATGGGGTCTCCGTCGTGATCTTCGGGGCGATATTCTCCCTTCCTGAGCGATAATAAACCACCGTGCCGAGTACCATATGTTGAGACCGTGTAAGCATCTCCCCGCATTTTGTCCGTGCTATCACGCCTGGTGAGCTTGAGTGCGACATTCCCGAAAGTGCTGCCAAAAACTTGACGTCGGCCATAGTTGTCTCAATGGTAGCACCGTAGATGTCCGAGGGAATCATAGTGGCTAGCCGCCACTCCCAACGGATGTTGGCATATCCCCACCAGGTAGCCTGGTAGTTGACGAGAAATTGGGACCATGCAGCAGCTTCGAGGCCGGGTGAGCTCCCGTGGTTTGAGACGGCCATGTTGGACTTGTATTTGATGGCCCATTTCCATGCAAAGGTCAAAGGTGTCAGCATATCGAGGCAGATTTCCCTTGAACGTTTCGAACGCCACAGGTTGAAGCCGTTCCGTTCATCGTCAAATTCCTCGTCGGAATGGCCTACGCTACAACAGCCTGTACACGCGCAGCTGCATGCAAAAGCTGGCGGGAAACAGAATACGGTAGTGATGGAGGAAAGGGCGAGACCAATCGGCGTCCATGCCACGGCGAAAACACTGCGGAGGACTGTAGGTAAAATGCTGACTTCTTTGTGAACCTTGGAGTCATCGCTACCTGCTACCACTCGTAGGACCCCATAGTCGACATATCCATTTCTCTTTCTATCGTAATTCTTTCCAGGTTTGAACTCGGCTTTTGATGGATTATTTTCCATTGTTACCGCTGACTCGGAGCGCAAGCCCGGCATCGTGAGCACCGGCATTCGATATTGGGGGTTCCATGAGAGCGAAGATACATGAAACCAAAAGCCTGCTGTGAGGTCGAACACGCCTGTTACGCGTCTGCCACATCGACTGCTGACCGAAACATATTGGGCGAGAGCAGCAAATGTCTGGACAACGGCAAAGAGGAGGGCAGCGCCAGCACCTACGAGGGCTGCAATGCCTATTGTAGTTTCCTCAGGGTTTTCTGAGCCCATAATGGCAATATATTGTTAGAAGAATCTTGAAGTGCGGTCATGATTGAGGGCTGTGCAGTGCCAAATATATCAGACTTCGTAAGGTGTGACTGAGGCTGAGTGATGGGAGAGGAGCTGAAACGTCAACCACTCAATCAGGTTGCTCAAGGCCCAGACCCCGATAGATCATGGCTGTGCCGCTAACCACACCATTAGTCGACGGAATTTGTAGTGAATAATTTTTTTGTTCCTACAACCGATGTGCCCGATAGGTGTGCCGGTCCTACTTCTATCTTGTTGTATAGGAAACCCGTACCAGTCCCCTAGTCGGGTGAAAAACCCACACCATCTGCTTATTGTAGTGAATAATTGACGATAACCCGTTGTTATTATATGCTCAGATGTAGAGGTGAAATTTTTTACTTCTACATGATGCTTCAAGCTAGAAAATCACCGCACCTTAATATGTCCAGTCCTACTGAACAAATGCTCCCAAGTTACGAGATACCTGCACATCAACATCACTACCGAGGAAGCATGGTCAGCAACTGATATCACGAAGTTTGGAATATAACTCACTCTGAGTCCCCATCTCCACTACCACTGCCCTCTCCTTCCCCTTCAGCGTCACCGCTCCCAGAGGACCTTTGTCCTTCCTCCGACAGTGCAAACTGAGCATCAGTTATCTGCTGGCTCGGCATATGCCCTTGAATCGGGTAACCAGTGTGCATGCTTGGTCCTGTGCCCATAAGCTGAGGATGTATGTGCTCACTGCTCGATCTTCCTGCCTGCGGTTGCTGATGCTGCTGAGTCACGGCCATTTGGTTCGCCTCCCCCCTCGCCGCCTCGCCCTCCTCAGGGGCTGTCAGAGCAGGTTGGTCCTCCTTGGCCTTCCTCTTCCTGTTTGGCTTAGGTCCCTTATACAGCGAACAATTAGAGGTATTATCAAACCACTTGCAATTGGAACAACTGCCATGGAAGAACTCTGGTAGAACCCGGCACTCCAGGAAGGGACCCAAAGAATGCTTGGAACGCCTCTCGGCACAGGTGGTGCAGGATACCGGCGCATCATGACCGCGGGAATGAACGAGTAGCCCATTGACATAACTGGGACGCTGAGCAGCGATGTGGCGGGCCGTGATCCAGCCCTGGACAAAGTGTATGTACTCGTGACTAGGCAGGCGGAATATCTTGCGCTGGTTCTCGTGTTTGAGAGATGTCTCTGAGAGGGCATCGCGGATGGCGATGGCCACAGCAAGGATGGGATTCTTCGGGTTTGCGCAGGCGGCATTCCAATTCTTGACTAGGGGATGGTCCTTGAATTCTGTCTCGCGCGTCGACATGTTGGGGCGTCCTGGAGGACGCCCACGGCGCCGCTTGGGAAAGGCGGCTGGGAGCTCTGGTGTGGAGGCATCCGGGTTAGGGGTGCTGGTGGTGGTTGTATTAGCAGCTGCTCCATCTTGGTTTTGTTCGGGTTGTGGTGAGGATGCTTGTTGTGGGAATTGCGTGTCTGGATTAACAGCGGTCAATTGGCTGTCGTGGTTCATCGTGGCCGTGACTTATACGCGTAGCGCTACAAGAAAGAGTGCTGATGCGACGGCAATGGTTGGGTTATTTTGTGGCGATTATTTTGTAGAAGAACAATTGAAAGCCCAGAACCTGGCGGTTTGGAGATTTTGTCCCACACTTGATGGGCGCACGGGCCATCGTTAGGAGCCAGGTGCGGCCAGTTGGCCAGCGCCTGTGTACTTCGATACAACAGAACAAGCAGTCATCTGAAGGGTTTGAAGCATGATTGCTCAGAAGACCGTATAGCTATGATAATAACAGTTTACTCTGCAACAATGACTTCTCGTAGCCGTGGTGATGTTGCCTGAAATTCTTTCCACAGATCGAGGACCTTGAAGATTGGTGGGGCCGTCCTACGTAATGCGCCAAGCGGTCCAGACCATGTGGTTCAACCGACAACAACCTGTCCCTGTCACTGGCCAACTGAAACACCCGCAACAACACCACACCAAGACACTGGCTTGCGCATCATTAACTATTGGTGCTTTCTTCTAATTACTTTTGTTTCCTCGCTCTTGCTTTCAGTTTGGTACTCGGCGCAGGCGCAAGATAAGCACCCTTCCCATAACCCGACATAATGTCCAATCCCAATGCCCTCCTACTTCTCGCCGACCACATCAAGCTCTCCCTCCTCGAGCGCCAGCGCGCAAAGAACCTGAACCTCCCTGACGACACCCAAGATGGCCACATCTCCCGCTCTCTCGACCAACTCCGTGACGGCATAGAAGCTCTAGAAAAGGAGCAACAACGCCTCCAAGAAGCAGGCGAGGAAGCGTGCGTCTATTCCATATCAACCCTTCCAAATAGCTACTAACATCCTCCCAGTAAATCCACCTCCCTCCTCAGCACCCTAGCCTCCCTCAAGAAGCAAAAAACCGACCTCACCACACAATTCCACGGCTTCCCTACCGCCGCCACCACCTCAACCCTTACCCACCCCAACGACCCCTCCCTAGCTGAAGATTTCGCCCACGCCCAATCCTCCACCGCCTCCCATCCCCCTGCCCCCACCACCCAAAAGAAAAACGTTCGCTTCACCGACAACGACATCGACCTCGAAGCCCAGCGTGCCTCTCTCTTTTCCAACCAACCCTACCGCGACGAAGTCGAAGAAGACGACTCCGCCGGCTACCGCAACGAAGCTGAGAACCTCTCCAACACCCAAATCCACGCCTATCATAGACAAATTTTGGAGGAACAAGACGCACAGCTCGACGCGCTGGGCTTGAGCATCAGCCGGCAAAGGGAGCTATCGATGCAGATTGGGGACGAGCTAGACTCGCAGGTTCTGATGCTGGATGAGAGTGAAAGAGTAGCAGATCGGCAGGCGAGCACCCTCAACAGGGCGAGGAGGCAGCTGGGGAGGGTGGCGAGGGGGGCGGCGGAGAGCGGGGAGGGGAGGCAGATGACGGCGATTGTGGTGTTGATTATTGTGCTAGTACTGTTGATTGTAATTTTGAAGTGATTAAGAACAGGGCGGTTCATTTTTTTAAGGACGTTACATGGAGTTTTTGGAGTTACAAGGAGAGCAAAGCAAAAGGTATCATACCAGCTTGCTGTGGCAAGCTTTTTATTGTTATTTTAACAGGCTTTTGGGGGTTATACACACCAAGTTTCATGTTTTGCTTTTTTTCTATCGCATTATTATTCAATGGTTTTTTTTTTTTTGCAACAATCATCCTCCATTTTTGCTATCGAACCATCATAGATCCTTTATCAAGATCGGGAGCTCTCTCTCTCACACCCTTATCAAACTTTCCCTCATCAACCATGTAGGCTACCTAACTCATTCTCCACTACATCCGATATCCACATCAAACCCTTACCTCCACAAGTCACAAGCCCCCTTCTCCCCACATAGACTGACTCAATGACGATAAGCTATCTTTCCTACTCTCAGTCTCAACAACAATTCAAAAAAGCCCGATTAGCTCAGCTGGTTAGAGCGTCGTACTAATATTCACTCATTCATGAGTAATATACAGTCCATGCGAAGGTCAACAGTTCAATCCTGTTATTGGGCAGCCAATATACCTTTTGGCATCCATGTCACATTTTTTCATGTCTTTACTCATACATGTCCTCGATACTTTTTTCAGTACAACAACTATTTTACTTTTTACAGTACCTATGCAGCGCTTTTCTAATATCTACACACTTGATCCTCCTCATCTTAAAAACTCTACATACACGAGAAAGCCCTTAAGAGAAGAAAGGAATGTTGTAAAGTCAAAAGCTTGTTGTTTATGTGCATTCTTTATCGGGGCTATCTGCATCCATCCTCATCTCTTCAATTTCTCCTTCATCTTGTGTGTGTTTGTTCTCCTGCTTCCTCTTTCCAGTTGTGTGGTAATGTATTTTTCGGCCACAGCAGAGCCAACCCATCTTGGGACTTGAGTCTCCTCCTTGTACTGCAGGGTCTTGCATATGATGCTCAAAGCCTCTACTGAGCCAATGTTATGCCATGTGCCCAACTTCAATGCCATGCAAAAGCCAAGTGTATCCCTTCGAAGCGTATGTACCCCTTGCTTAGCAACTCCAGCTGTTCAACCTCTCGCACAACCACCAAGAGAAACTCAACGAATAACATCCCCTTCCTTGTCGATCCCCTCAAGGCCCTCCAAGATGTCGCTGCCCCCCAGCATGCCGACGCCGCCCCTAGTGGCCACTTTGTCGTCTCGCCCCCACACTTCGTGAAACCGGACGCTATTATCGCTTGCCGCGACCATAATGCAGCCTTCCATCTTGTAGCGCCTCTTGGGATTCAGCTCGTCCAAGTAGCCCCTCTCGGTCCGCCTCTCCTCCTCGGGACCACTAGGATAGGGAATGGCATATAACGCACGGTGCTCCCTGGGCCATGGTACGGCCGCGACTTGGCGACAGTCCGGCCACGAAAAGACGGCGATGCGGACTGGGTGCTCTGGCGACGCGTATCCAAACGTGGCTGCGATTTCCCGTCGAGTAGTGGACCAGATCAAGCTGGTTACTTGGGCCGATACCGAGATGGTTGCCAGGGCTGAGCCTGATTTGGTGTGAAAGAAGTGTATACACTTGTCGTTGGATCCTCCGCCTGTTGCCACCAAGCCGTCCTGCCAGGGGCAAAAGGCAATGGCCTTGACCGCAGCACCATGCCTCCACTTGTACTTCACCCCGTCGGACTTGATATACCTGATTCGGTTATCAGATATCTCCCTTGACTCCATAATCTCGTCACTTGGATGCTCTAGCCCGCGTATGCCGGATTCAACAGTCTCAACTGCAGACTCACTGTCAGCATTGGCCATGTTGGCGCACAGTTCCTTGTAGTCAAAAAGACAGCACAAGTTATCGTTGGCTCCTGTAGCAAAATAATCCCCCTTGGGGCACCAAGCCAATCCGCAGATCTGTTGAGAATGGACTTGGATGTTCAACAAGAGAGTCATTCCTCCATCCAAGCCCCATAATTCCCTGTCCTCTGAACTCGGCCATTCAACCGCGTACAGGAGGACGCGTCCTTCGTCAGTGCCGACAAGCAAGTCTTCATGAGCCGGAGGGATTCGGTGCGGGAAGAAATTAGTGCCATCAGGAGACGTGCTCTTGGACGGTCGGTCTCGATTGAGATAAGGCCTCCAGCTGAGACAAGAGATGGGTGAATCAAGTGACATCTCGAATCGAGGTCTCCAGCCTGCACCATGCCTCTCGCCACGTTCCGGTTTATCTCTCAAGGACATGAGAGACAGCATACCAGTCGACCTTCCGATAGCTAGGATGGCTGATTCCCCTTCGGTACTTGAAAATGCGAGGCCGGTGATATGACTGGGCCCATCGAGGTACTCGTATTGTGAGGGCCGCGCACCCTTGTTCAGCAACTGTACACCGCCATGCTCAGACCAACCGTACACCATATCACCCAGCCCGATAGCAAGGGTGCTGTTGATGTATGAGAAAGCCAGGACTGAACAGTAGAAGTCGTCTCGTAGGCCAGGAGCATCGAGAACCCTGTTTCAGTCAGTTAGTTATCCCCTTGCAACTGGGTGACTGGTGCCAACTGACTTGAACGGTGCAAATGGTAGCTTCCGCCTCTTAGATGGCTTGCCAGGTGCCGCGGATGTAGTTGGCTGTTCTTTGACCCATTGAACGCCATTCCATTTGGTGGGAATGTGTGCATTGATGGTGTTGGCATCGATCTGTCGAGGGAGACTGACCCTAAGTACCTTCTCGGCACGATCCAATCCGAGGGCTACAGCAATGCGAGCGCCGTATTTTTCCCGTTGCTCGTTAGGCTGTGGCTGCAGCATGGGAAAGTTGGACTGGAAATGCCTGGCGTTTGTACTACTTGTGACCAGCTGACCTCGGCCATTGTTAACAGCGGTGCTTCCAGGACCCAGACCCCCGACGCCCCAGACTGCACCGTGACTGATCTGCCTGTCGCCATTGTGGTTACTATTCTGGTCGCGAGGTCGGAGGACAGTGGGGGCTAGAAAGTAGCGTCAGTGGTCTAAACCTGTTGCAACTACTAATTAAATTGGCTTACTTGGGACATATCTAATGCCATCATGGTGAACACCATCTCCTCGATCGCGAAGGTCGCCAAAGGTGGGAGCGCTGGGGACACGGCGATGGTAGCAAAAGGCATCTTCGGCGGCTCCCTTGTGCCGCAAAAGCTTCTCAGCTCGTGTCAGTTGGTTCGCTGGCTTCCTAGTCCTGTACCTCTCCGTCTGAGTTTCTCTCTCTCGAGGTCTGGCGGGAATAAAACGGTCTGGTAAGCGGGACCAGGAAGAGTTGGCTCCGGGAGAGCTGTTGGTGGTTCTTCGCGGAAGCGCCGGGCTTGTGTCAAACGAAAGTGACGTGGACAGGGCAGGCCGCTGACGAGGGTAGTTTATGGGCAGAGCGACAGTGTTTCGGTGAAATCCTGCGGGCGGGCGGGCTATGACCTCCGGTGAATTTCCGGGGTTTGGAGTCTGGTCCCCGTCATCCTTGAGTTGATCCTCGTCTTCTGAAGAGCTCCCATCGCAGTTCATGCACAGGTCGGCAAAGGGACGCCCTTTATTCTTAAGCTTTGGAGGCAGCTGAAGCACCTCGGGAGGACTCTGGGGCACCACGGATTCTTTTGGGACCTCATGACTCGGGCCACATGATTCCAACGAGCCGTATCCTGAATCTCGTGCGTTGGAGGGATAACTGGCGGATCGTTTACGACGCGACCTGTGGTTGTATGGAACCTGGCGGTTCATGTTGTTGCAACGTCCTATTCCGTAGCCACGGTTGGTTTTGCGTATGGCGCCCATAGCGAAGCTGCGGCACCAACACCGGAATGTGGGAAGAGCTTGGGGAGAGAGAAGCGATGGGAAAAGATGCGAATGCTAATGAGATTCACAAAATAATATTTCAAAGACCTAGCGAGTGTAAGGAACCCACAAGAATGGTGCAATTGAAGCCGTCGACAGAAGGAGACGACAGTATTGATGCGGGCCCGGATGATCAGAAACCAGTTCGATCGGTGATGGGTGACAAATCCATGCGTGAACCACCGGACTGGATAATAGTACCCTGATGCCGATGCTGTAATGGCGTAGCGATATTCGGGAATGGTGGTCCTAGGAATCAAGAAGAGATGCAGAGGCCGAGCAAACGAAGGTCATCCAGACGATCGGAGACCTGTTGCCCGTGTGGGACAGGCAGGAAGGCACCTGCCCACCTCTTTTCCCTTTTTTTCTCCATGACGACGCATTTTAGTTACTGAAGGAAGGCGCGCGGTTCATTTTCCGCTCTTTCGTCTCGATCCTGGAATATGTCCCGCCATGGTGTTGAAGGCAGGAGCTATTCAGGGGCTTCAGGGGGTTGCGCCAATTAGCTAAGCCCCCTATTTCACCAAAGCTCTTATCGATAAGACCCCGCAACCCTGCTGACGTGTTGTAACCTTCCTGAGCAAGCACCCGACGTCATTCGAGCAACCACCGAATCCTCCACGCGACACCGTCTCGACAGCCACAACATCAGACCATGGCCGATGTAAGCCTCTCTCTGACATATCCTTCTCAAGTCTTACCTCTTCCCAATCAAACAGACAATTAACTAAACAAGCCCAAAAGCAAGGCGGCTCCCAGCACGGCATAGCCCGCACCTCGCGCGTCCGCACCGAAGCCCAGAAGCAGCAAGACCTCGAGCGCATCCAAAAATACCGCGACCTCGAGTCTCACCTCCGCAAGCTCGTTTCTGCGTCCGACTACTCTTGCGACACCTTTGATCTCACCACCAAGCTGCTGAAGCTCAACCCCGAGTACTACACAGCATGGAACGTCCGCAGGCGTACGCTAATTTCTGGCTTATTCTCAAGACGATCGGATGGGTCCTCATGCTGGAGGGGGTGCTCGAGTTCTTCTCGGTGCGACACTACAACAACGTGTTCCGCCGCGTCGTTGTCCTCCTCTTTGACAAGGATCCTGCCCAGCCGAGCCTACCAGACAACTGGGAGGAGTGGTACAACAGCTGACCAAGACGTGTCTGATGCTGCAACGCCAAATGACACTACTACACCAACACCAGAAGATGAAGAGTCTCAGAAAAAGGACTCGGAGATTATCAAATCGGAGCTCTTCTTCACTATCCCACTCCTTCTGGAGTCCCCAAAATGCTACTGGATTTGGTCTTATCGTCTGTGGATCCTTGGCCAGTCCGTCCTTCTTCTTCCAGTGCCGATTGCAAAGAAGATATGGCAGGAAGAGCTTGGTTTAGCCAGTAAAATGCTTGCCAAAGACTGTCGGAATTTTCATGCATGGGGATACAGGCGGCATGTAGTTTCTCGGCTGGAGAGCAAGGAACTCGGGGGCGAGTCACTGGTTGAGAGCGAGTTTGCATATACGGACCGCATGATTCGGGGTGATTTGAGTAACTTCTCGGCTTGGCATAGCAGGAGTAAGCTGATTCCGAGGTTGTTGAATGAGAGGGTGGCAGGGGAGAAAGAGAGAAAGGGCTTTTTGGATGCCGGTATGTGTTTCTTTGACTGTTAACAACAGGTGAATGGTTGCTAATAACAAATAGAGCT